GTTGAATGCGGTTTGCACGGTTTGTACAAATTGAGTGGTTTGCATTTGATCGCTCCCCTATATATATATATATATATATATATAAAGTTGTGTTCAGCTCCCTAGGTAGTCAGTCTGCTAGTTCCACACTTCCACTTGCATAGCTAGTGGTTAATAATTTGAAAGATGACATTCTAGTGTCCTCCCCAGACCCCACCTCCAGGTGGTATATACTGGGTTCGTTTACCTTGTGGTTTGGCTTATATACTTCAATGAGTCTCAATAAATCTTTAAAAGGTAAGAAATGTTTTAAATTTTTTGACAATAATTAGTAGGAGTATATTTGGTATGAAGGGTACATCACTGCCTTACAAATAGCACCGAATTTGAGATATCTCTTATCTGTGTCACATTTTCTGTTCTTACCTTTGAACTTTTTGTATACAAATAAAGTTGGAACATCATACTGTATATTCTGTTGTTTATCATGTTAATTGAAATTCACAAAAGAAGAAATTTTGGCCTGCTAAGCCAATAAAGCATTATAAAAGCAGAATCCCGGAGGTTTCTGATTCTTACCCTTGATTATGAGAAAGAGGAATTCATTACTTCCTCTATTATTAAGGGTAAAATTGTAAAAAGTGCAATAATTAACGATCCTAAAACTGTGTTTTTCATTGTGGACATTTCTTTTGTTACGGAGGGAGTAATTGAACTACTAAATGCCTTTCAAAAACCGTATTGAACAACGTCTTATTTATGGAAGACACTTGGGGCCTGTTTGTTGGTAGCTTAATGTGCTTAATGGGACTCAGCTATACCTGGCTGTTTAGTAGTAGCTTAATGATACAGAAAGTGGTTTATTCGGTAAGCTTCTAGGGGGAGCTTTATGCAGAAAGCCAAGTTTTTTTTCCAAACTTACCTCTCTAGATTAAAAAATACGCTCCTTCCATCTACGAAAAACTATCTCAAACAAAAACCTTCCCAATCTATACAGACAAATTAATCCATACAGGACTTAATGGAAAATCAACCAAACAGCCTATTTGCCTTCATTTCGTTGTGCTTACCAGCAGAAGTGTTTTTGCAGGTGGTGAATGAACAAGCAGATGTGCAGTGCCCTATAGTTGAAATGCCAACACGATCCAAACTTAGTTGTTTAAGCTGGAACAAGTACACAAAGAACCATTTAGCGAGTAGTGATTATGAGGGTATTGTGACTGTATGGGATGTAACTACTCGCCAGGTATAGCATATTAGGTTGAGTTTACTGTTTATTTATTTGTCATCTTTTATAAAGGGTAAGGTAAACGCTCAGCTGTTGACTTCCAGTCTAATTTGCAACTTTGACTTAGAGCATTATGGAGTACGAGGAGCATGAGAAACGAGCATGGAGTGTTGATTTCTCACGCACTGAGCCTACAATGCTAGTATCCGGAAGTGATGACTGCAAGGTACTTCAATTTGTAAAATTGGAAGCAAAATCTAAATCTATTGCCAATAACATCGCCTTCTCTGTGTCTTTTTGAAGTATATAGTGTATATATATAGAGAGAGAGGGAGGTTCAGGGGAAAACCCCCAAAGAACTGAAAAACTGAGGAACATCTGGTAGCCATTCATCTGGCCGGTAATGCACATGCGCATACAAGTAATTGAAGCTGTTTCTTGGTTTTTATGCACGTGTGCATGTTATTCACATTTGCATACCGGACAATTTGCTTACAAATTACTTGTATGCACATGTGCATGCCTTCCAGATGAACGGTCACCAAAGGTGTTCCTCGGTTTTTCATTATTTTTGCAGTTTTCCCATGAACCTGACCTTATATATATATATAAAACAAATACTCACACACTCCTCACCTTTGGTGAGGCTTGAAACCTTGACCTCCAGGGAGGCGCTATAGTCTCTACCGGTAACACGAGTATTGCTGGCCTGGGCCAGTAAGGATGAGCCTTGTCACAACACATTAATTGCTCTAAGGGACGGGACAAGACTGGATGGATGAGATTGAGTTAAGAGGGTGAGAGAATTGCGAAAGGTTTTCGGGTTTTCATTTGATATGGGTAGTTTAGCAATTTACCAAGTTTGTCCCATCTCCCTGATTTTTGTTCCACCTATTTCGGTGGGACAAAAAAAAATGCCGTTTTGTCCCACTCAGTCTTGTTCAGTCCCAGTCTAATTGTCCCACATTACCAAACGCACCCTCAAGGTGTTCCTGTCCCTCTGTTTAATTCGGAGTAAATTTTTTAATATTGTGTATGATTTTTTATTCTGGCTTCATAATGCTTTGCATATCTTCACTCTTATCCAACAGGTCAAGATTTGGTGTACAAAGCAAGAGGCAAGTGTCCTTAATATTGATATGAAAGCAAATATTTGTTCAGTCAAGTATAATCCTGGATCTAGTTTTCACGTTGCAGTATGTTCCTCTCTCGATTATTTATTGCTATTGACCCTCGATTATATTATGTTTACAATTATATCTGCATACCTACCACACTTGTTTCCTTTTTCTTTTTGGTTCTTGCAATCCGGGGGTCTTCATGGAAACAACCTCTCTACCCCATGGGGTAGAGTTAACCTCTGCTTACATCCTTCCCTCCCAAAACCCTACCTCTCTGTGGGACATATTGGGTTTGTTTGGTTTAACTATATCTGCATATCTTCACTTACCAGATGGCGCTACTTATGCACCTTGCAGGTGGGTTCTGCAGATCATCACATTCATTATTATGACCTGAGAAATATAAGTCAGCCATTGCATATATTTAGCGGACACCGGAAAGCTGTTTCGTATGTAAAATTCATATCCAATTCTGAGCTTGCTTCTGCGTCTACTGACAGCACGTTGCGCTTGTGGGACGTCAAGGAAAATACGCCAGTAAGACTACCAGTCATCATTCGTTGAGTCTTTGCTTTCCATGCAATCTTTTTTGTTTTTTAGCACGAGGCTGAGTTTGCAAGCCAGGGAACCGCTCTACTCTTTGGGGTAGAGGTCAGGTCCGTGTACGAACGAAATTTACTTGAGGATACTCCAAATTCATACTCAAGTTTTTAGGCAGAAAACGGACTTGGCTCTCATGACCTCCACCATACAGTGATTCCAGGTTCAAGTTAGCTTATACACGTGTGCATTCCGCACCTCCTAACCTGTATTATAGCTTAATCGAGCCCTCTCCATTCTCTTGTAAATCCAATTGCACCAAATGACCTGATGACACTAAAATCACCAACACATAAGGGCCTGTTTGGTAGCAGCTTAATGGGACTTGCAATTTATTCGGTCAATTATACATAACTGTTTGGTAATATAGAAAATGGCTTATTCACTAAGCTTCTAGGGGGGAGCTTTATGCAGAAAGCCAAGTTTTTTCCGAACCTACCCCTCCCAATTAAAAAACACATTTCTTCCATCTATGAAAACCCCTCCCAAACAAAACCCTTCCCCATCTACACAGACAAATTAATCCACACAGACAGCTTTATCCATTAAGGACTTGATGAATAACCAACCAAACAGCCTCTAGATTCCACCTCAGGTGGAATATATTGGGTTCGTTTTGGTTTGACTGAGTTTGCATGTTGCAGCTGCGGACTTTTAGAGGACACACAAACGAGAAGAATTTCGTGGGTCTAACCGTGAATAATGAATACATAGCCTGTGGCAGTGAGACTAACGAAGTTTTCGTCTACCATAAGGTTAGCTTTCAATATTTAAACTTTTATTTTGACCGTGAGAATATGTGAAACCCGATCAGATTACTCTCCAAAAGAGCCCTTGAGGAGAGAACCATAGTTCCAATTTTCAACATATATGAAGGAGAAACGGTTCAAGTCCAGCCGATCTGCATGACTTAACACTGACACATACATATGTGTATATATATATATATATATGACTTTGTAGGATATCTCGAGGCCTGCAGCATCGCATAGATTCCGTTCTGAAACAAACGAAGGGGAGGAGGAAGGCGGATCGTACTTCATTAGCGCGGTCTGTTGGAAAAGTGATAGCCCAACTATGTTAACAGCAAACAGTCAAGGAACAATCAAGGTTCTTGTCCTTGCTGCATAGAATCTATCCTTGTGTTTTAGGTTAGCTTTTTTTAGAGGCATGAAAAGATGGATGGTGTCACACATTGTATATATTGGGTTAAGACGCAGTTTAATCATGGGTTGGGTGCTGAACCACACTCCAAATTTTGTACCAAGTATTCTGTTTATACGGGATTATGTAAATAAAAACTAATAAAAAACTTGAAAATAAAAAATTTTCGTATGGGTTAAGCTTCGTCTAAAGACGAAGGGCATGACGTAGCATCATATTTACTTGACTTTATACATAAGAACTCGGGATGGGCATCAGGCCAGGGGCACGATATAGCGTCAGATTTACTTAGCTTTATACAAAAGAACTCGGGCTGGCACCAGGCGAGGGGCACACTACTTCGTTAGATTTACTTGGCTATATAAATTAATTAAAATATAAAAATCGTATAAAAATAATATTTGAAGAACAATAAAGTAAAAGTTTAAAGAGTATAAAATACAATAACTAAAAATTTAAAATGAATAGAATGTAAMGAGAGAGACATATTTGTTGTTTTAAAAAAGAATTAAGTTTTATTTTGAGATTATATTAGTTAATTGTATGTTTGTTCCACCTTGTTCCATGAGGTGGAGGTGAAACACACTTTATTCCATTATGTTCATGTTTGTTCAACGTAAAAGTGTCAAACTTGAAACAATAATCTATTTCTTATTGTATGAAATATTGGTATTAAGATTTATCCCAATGCTCAAATATAAGAAATTAATAAAAAATGACGTAAATATCTAAAATATTCAAATTAATTCCCTTTAGTGTCCACTTTTTATGAGTTCGGATTTGTTCCGTAGTTTGTGCTTGAATGAAGTTTTCTTTTACTGTTTTAAAAATATAAGAGCATGTTCCAAAACAGATTGTCTCGTCTAATATTATCAAAAGTAAAAAAAAGCACTCTTTTTTAAACAGAAATAGCAATTAATTACTCTCATTAATAGTTAGTAAAGAGTTTCACAAGTGAATTTATTTCCTCTTAAAAAAAGTGAATTTATTTAAATGCATTACTAAACACCTTTTAAAATGCTTATAAATAACGAGCCTAGGTAAATTTTAAAGCAGCCTTGAGTTATCTAAGATATCTGGTTTCTTGTTTCCAACCTCAATTATGAAGATGACCATGGTAAATGTTTTCTTACTTCTTGTACTTGTAGTACACAAGGACGTGCATTTGATCGAGGCCT